CACAACCCAAGGATGAATCCATTCTTTCTTTCTTTTCCCACATGCATCAACTCTCTCACATATGCATGCTCTGATCAATACTCTTAGGGTCTTTGTTTTGCCAGATCGATTTAGGGTAATGAAGTCCATGTGGCTAAATCCTACACGGAAAAAGAGAGAAGGATTGTCAAGCTCAGAGGTTTGACCGTATGCGGATCAGAGGTTGAGGCTTTAGAGAGGTCACGTTTTATTCTCATCCGTTCTTCTTTACCTCTTTAACATAGACTACCCCTCCACGGGGTCATTAATTAAGCGCGCCCGTCCTCCTGTTGCGTAAAGAATCGTGAAGATGCATGTGTGTGTGCACATTTCTCCAGCCTTAAAGAGATAGTTCACCTAAAAATCACCATTAATTCACCCTCATGTAGTTTCAAACCTGTATGAGTTTCATTCTTCTTCAGACAACATTGGATCCATTGAATTCCACAAACAATTTTAAAAACAATTTTTTTTTGTGTGTTCCACAAAAAAATAAAAGTCACACAAGTCAGGAATGATTTCAGTTTTCATTTTTGGGTGAACTATCTCTTTAAATGAAGACAGAAAGCGCAGTTGTTGGCAATGTGATCTTTAAAAACTATGACAGCAAAGGCCAAACTGGGTGACTCGCGCTGTCACTCAAGTAAAAGGGGCGAATTAGGACTGAACTGCACTCTGGGACTCAAATTTTTGTGGTGAACTAAGTAGAGAACAATCCACTCCTGTAAAGCTTCCTCTCAGCCGGGGTTTTATGTTTTTGGTGTCTTTTTTTTTTTGGTTAATTAAAAATGTCAGCTCATTATCACATGTATATGAACACAACAAAGAATTTCGGTGCCTGAACAAATAAGACAATGGCACGCTTGGTAATCTTTAGACAGCTCATTAGGTACTTCATATTAAATTTAAAAAACACTGAAAGGACAAAGCACCAGGAGTGCCCACCCCCCTCTCTCCCAATTCTACCTCTCTCTCTCTCTGTTTTTTCTCTCGCTCCCCTTGCTCTCTGTATTCCCGTAACCGTTCTTTAATTCCAGCTCAGTCAGCCCATTGAGGGGCAGTGAACCGCATGCTGATGACCTCACTGCCGCACTCTGATTGGTCAATCTCAGTGACCAACAGCCCCAACATGGGCCAGACAAAAAAGCCACTCTGTCTCTGTCACTCTCTCCCCCTCTCTGTGTTGACTCATTATTGTTTTTCAGCTCTTTTCTTTTACTTGTTCACAGAAAACAGGCAGAGCGGAAAGTTGTGTTTCGTTCGCTCTGATCGGAAGTGTTCTAAAACAAACACCGCCTTCTGGCTTGGTGTGATGTGTGAGCGCCAATACGGTAATCACCTCTCACCCACTGCATCTTCCTCTGATCATTTGCTCTCTCCTGTTTTAAAACCGATCAAACAAGGTACAAAACGAGTTCCTGTGAACACAAGGAGGACACAGATTGAGAGAGAAATTCGTGGAGTACACATACTCAGCGGTTAAAAGAGGCTTGAGTACGGTAACTCATGGGAAAAAAAGTTACAAAAAGACTCCTCCAGTAAAAACAAGTTTGTCTTAAACTTCAAAGCGTTATCTCTGTTCAGAAGAGATGGGAGAATGATATGAGGAAAAGAAAAACAGATGAAAGCAGACCTAAAAGGGAACAAATAGTTTACTGGCATGTAGGGCTGTGCAATACCATGAATATTCATGATATTTTTTTCCAATGGATGAATATTTCCATGGATAACACACAATGATTTTCCTAAAAATGAAAAAAGTGAATGTGACTATTTGCATTAAACTCGTTTCTCAATCTGAACGTCTCAGGTGGACTTGGTGTGTGTTTGATTTATTTCCATGAATCAGTTCAAACTGTCCATTCCATATACACTACCGTTCAAAAGTTTGGGGTCAGTGAGAATTTTATTTTTATTTTTTGGAGGAAAGAAATCAATACTTTTATTTATCAAGGAAAAATTAATTTGATCGAAAGTGACAGTAAAGACATTTATAATGTTACAAAAGTCTTTTGAACTTCCTTTTCATCAAAGAATCCTAAAAATAAAAAATAAAAAACTGTACAACTGACAGACCAACAACTGTTTCAACATTGATAATAATAATAAATGTTTCTTGAGCATCAAATCCTCATATTATACTGATTTGTGAAGGATCATTTGACACTGAAGACACTGACACTGGTGATGCTGAAAATTCAGCTTTGATCACAGGAATAAATTACACTTTACTATATATTCACACAGAAAACAGCTGATTTACACTGGAATAATATTTAAAACTATAACTGATTTTTGTTGTATTTTTAATCAAATAAGCGCAGCCATGGTTAGCAGAAGAGAATTCTTTTAAAAGTATTTAAAATCGTACCGACCCCAAACTTTTGAACGGTAGTGTATATAAGACAATAATAATAAACTTTTCTTGAGCATCAAATCAGCATATTGGAATGATTCCTGAAGGATCATGTGACACTAATGATGCTGAAAATTCAGCTTTGCCATCACATGTAAATAGTTTACATTTTACAATATATATTCAAATATAAAACAGTTGTTTTAAATTGCAATGATATTCCATAATATTACTGTTTTAGTGTATCTCTGATCAAAATAAATGTAGCTTTGGTGAGCATAAGAACCCCAAACGTTATTATTAACTATAATGTAATACATAAAATAAAATATAAATATGTGTATATGTATGTAAATATTGCTGATTACTACTATCCATATACTATATGTGTGTGTACGAATGAAAATGATTTAATGCAAAATAAGTAGGAAAAACATGCCTTGATTTTTTTTCTTACTTAGCAACAATGGCTGTTTTCATTTGACATGTATATATAAACATAATAAATAGTCAAGAGGGAAAAAAGTACTTTTGTTTTACTTTTATTATCGACATTTCCAGACTCACAGGAAGGAAATTAAAATCCTTCAGAGCTGCAAAGACTGCATAAGCACATTCTTTGGGTGCGAATCACCAAGTGGGCTCAGTGAGACAGCACTAACTGTACATTCCTCTGTCCCACTTAAAAAGAAAAGGAGGGACCGAGGGGGAGAGAGAGTGAAAGAGAGGCTGCAGGGGAGAAGAGAAAGTCTTCATCCCTAAGTCATTTGCCTAAAAAGGATGTGATGAATGAATGTCAGGGACACAAAACATCCACCTCATGTTTAACAAGAGACTCACCCAGTCCTCGGTCAGGAGGGGTGAGATGGAGAAAGAGTGAAGGGGGAGGGAGGAAGATAGAAAGCAAATTCTTGTGTCCATTGGCGAAAGGCACTGTGCGTAACAGAGTTCACATTGACTTGCTAACCGTACAGGCCGAAATGGGAATGAAACGAGAGCCGCTTTTGTGTTCAAGATACAGCTCACCTTTCTACTGAAAAGGACATAGGAAGTGAATCAGTGAGTCAACTGTGAGATCAAATGACTGGTCTATGTGAGCGCAACAAAACTCGGCCATCAGCAGTTCCTGACTCACGCTCACACACTTGGGAAATTCCTCAGGGTGTGATATGTCGACTCTCAGTGTGAAATTTAAAGCTAGTGTTATCACTTTTATTGTAATTGTCACAGGTCTGTGCGTGTGTTTGTCCCACAGTTCGCAAATAGACCTCAAGAGGCACAAAGCTACAGCTTGCGACCGTCTGTTCGTATTCCACAACTCGCTCTTCCAAGGTAACCCATGAATAAGTCAACGATATGGAAATGTAAAAATAATATGTCACTTGATAGAAGTCAAGTAATACACAAGTAAAAAAAGAACAACTCCCTGGCTCTTTTGGACAAAAATATTTTGCTTAGTGATACAACCAAAACTATTCTCCCGAAACAGCAAAAAAATACATTTTCGGTTTCGGCCAAAATAGTTTTTTGAGGGACCAAACGTTTAATTAGACGCATTTGACATATTTCATCCACACAACTATAATCTCTAGATATATGGATAAGCTATAACAGGTAAACAAGTAGGCAGTGTGGATGTGCTTTACCACGACTGAAAAATGATGCTAGAGTAGCAATATGTCAAATTTGTTCGGCTGAAATATTGCAGGGAGGCTCTACAATGACTGGTTTAATCAACAGCATTCTGAATTCATTTACTCGCATTTTCGGCTAAATGAAAACTAGTTTTGGTAACACTTTATTTTGACGTTGGTACTTACTATAGTAATAACAATAAATTATGAATAATTACAAGTAACTAACCAAAACCATACCCTAACCGTAACTCTATAGTAAGTACATGTAGTTAATTCATATTACTCAATGTACAATATACGACACCTTAAAATAAAGTGTAACCCTGTTTTTTTGGTGTTTCAAAAAAAATTCGCCGCATCACTAATTTTGCTATAAAATATTTAGACTGAATCATGAGCCATAGCTGTAACTGGTGGATTAGTTTCGTTTATCTACTGGAAATGTAAAACATGTAGTTATGGCCTTTTTACGACATCATAATTAAACAGGACGCGGGGATGTTATAAGGCCTCCCAAGTTTACAACCGCAGCACAAATGTGGCCCCTGCCGGATTGACAGATTGTATTGCGATGGCTGACTGGGATCTGTGCCATCGACTGACTGTATGGATACGGACTGGTCTAATCAATGCTATCGATCACGACAGGGGGGTTTCAACCACGGCGGGGGAGGGTGATTCAGCCCCCCAAATATTTCACACTGTGACCCTTCAAAACACATTCCACCAAAACACTCTCCAGCTCCTTTCTTTCACTCACACATATATCCCCCTCTATAAACACCCCCGCTAAATCAACCCTAACACTTAACCCCCTCCCCCTTCTCGTTCTTTCACATACACACATAAAGCCCACCCTTCCCCCATCCTCCCTTTCTCTTCCCAACAGAATCAGGGTGGAAACCGAAGCATGGTGAGGGAGCGTTTTGCTGCACATGTTCGATCGGCGTTTTTTTACGAGAATAAATGCAAAGAAAACATCTGTTTACCTTTGAGAAGAAATTGTCCCTCGGTGATGACGTCGGCAGTCATGACGTTGTACTCGTTCTCGGTGAAGCCCGGTTGACATGGCATTGCCCCCGTGCCCTGGACTGCCACCTGCCAAAAAACACAAAAGCACCAGACAAATTAATCCCCCGATTAATGGTGATTCATAAACATCGCCCCTCAGCACGAGCCAACCTCCACCGCGGCGAGAGCCAAATATCCAGAATCCCAAGAGGAATCGATGGACATAACGATCACGCTCTTTCACCATAAACAGAGGAAATGAGGCAGAACTCACCTCAAGAAAAGCACAGCGATGAGACTTTCCAGAGCCGCCGAGTCCATCAATCAAGCTCCAAATGAACTCTTTAAATTAGCAATGCTATTGTATTTTTCACCGATTACTCGCTAATTTGCAGCAGATCGGCGACATTAAATAAGGTTCAATGCATGACGGTTTACCGGGGTGCTTTTTCTATTATGCCATTTTTCTTCATTCTGCTTTCCCCAAAGGATAGCGAGGGGTTTCTATCTCCCCTCCTCCCCCCTCCGGCACCAGGGCATCTGTTATTTTGAGGTGGGTGTAATTAGACTGATGAGGTCAGGAGGGCGAGACGTTAGAAAAGCAGAGCTGACCAGGCTACGCATACTCTGCCTTGAATGGCGTGGTCTGGTGGAGCACTTATCACATAAAAACACAAACACACACTTGTGCAGCTGCCGTAAGCACTCCGGCGACAAGTCACAAACCCATTCTTTATGGCTTACGCTTAAAACAGGCGTGCACACCTAGCCTTTAACAGCCAGGACAAAGACTTATTCATCCTTGACTTGTCTTATAAGAAACTAAACCACCAGCATTGAGTCATTAATAGCATGAGCTGATATGACACACAATGTCTGAATCTTAGTGTAGGCAAATTCGGCTTTTAAAGGATGCTTGAGAAGATCAAAGGTGATGTCCACTGTGAAACAGCCTCTTTGTGTTGGAATAAGATCAGAGGCTTGAAGAAGACGGCTGGCTGTGTTTGTTAATGGCCCCATAGTCAATTCATCAAACATGTTAATTACTTGTTAGCTTGGTGGATGCTGCTGACTTAATGCCCTACACACAACGACCAATCAAACATTTGCTTTTGTGCTAACAAAATCATCATCAACCATGAGCTATAACTGCTCAGTTTTTTGATGTCGTCATCTGGTGCTGCCTGATGTATCTGCAGAGCCCCTATATAAAGCTGGCACTACATGGGGTGTGTTTGAAAATCTGACTTTAAACTGTCCTGTCAGCAATTGCTTAGCAATATGCTGCCTCTGCACATCCACACAGAGCGAATGATTCTAGATGGAGCCGCACCAGCAGCCCTGCTGACATGAAGAATCAGAGGCAGCACACGCTATAAAGCCAATGGTGATCATGTAAAGACACTGTCAGTATAGTACCTGAGATAAATTACCTAAATAAACCTCTTTAAAATGTGCAGTGATGGTTTTTTTGCAAAGAAGTCGCTTCTAAGAATCGCTTTTAGAAGCGATTCTTTTACGTCATCGCTTGGTTCTTGACATAGCAGCGTGGTGTATTAAGCTCGAAACATTCCTGTAAATTTTTTTTTTTTTTTTTTATTTATTAATAAGTCTGTTTATTACAAGTTCGTGTCTTGAGTTTGTTGCCGTCATGATTCAAAACATTTAGAACCCAAATATAGCCTAAGTTGTATTTAACTATACAAACATCATTCGTATCTATTGGCTGGAAAGGTTCTTTTTTTCTATAAAAAAAATGCTATTTTAACCAACTCTGTTTGTGAATTTACTAAACTGTCATTTAATCAAGTCGTAAACATCTTTCCAGTGCGTTTAATGTTTTAACAGGATCGTGACGATTCAATAAATCATTCAGTTGTTCGCTTCAGAACAATTCAGCTCAGTTCGCTCACGGAATCGGTTCATATATGATACACTTGAATACGACTCGAATGAATGATTCGTTCACCAAGCGGACATCGCTATCAAACAGCAGAGCAGAGGGGTTTTAAACATGTGGGACCGTTATAACACGCACACAAACAACAGTAAAATGCGACGTTGATGTTGAACTTTTAAAATAAACTTGAAAATATAAGACATTTACGAGGTCAGGACTGCTACTTCTGCTCCTGCAGACCACAAATACAATAAAAAACATTGAAACCCGGACCAAATGGCTCATGGCCAAATGTTAACTTTATTGCCATGCAGATTTCAAGCGTTTGGTTCCATCATAACTTAACAATTTGCTATAGTAATTCCTCGTTTGAGTGTGATAACACGACGTTCAAATGTTAATTCTGCTGGACTCTGCAATTTCAGCAATTCAGAGGGCAGCAGACCCAAAACCTGACAGCACGACTCATTTCACCGCTCAATGATTCGGGTCAGAGTGATTTGTCATATTTGGGTTACGCACAGACCCGTTGTTCGCCGTCAGATTTCGCATCTAAAAGAGACCGAGTCCGCGGAAGAGGACAGTCGCCTCGCGGCCGCCTAAATAGGCTGCTCATTAACTGATTATTGTAACATTTGTTTCATCACTCGGAAAGGGACCATTGTGACCTAATCACCTCCTCGAGGGCAACTTTTTTTCAATCTCGTGCCAAAAGAAGCAAAAGCGCGTTTGAAAACCCGCATTCAACTGCGACTGGCTCCGGTTCAGCACGGGACGGTTTGAACGGGGCTGCTAGTACAATCCATCGGCTATACAACATAGAAAAAAACATCGCACACGGAGTCTAAACCTCTTGTGAATAACTGGGAGGCACGGATAACAGAATAAAGACTGTCTAGAATTGCATTCGAAGAAAATTAGATGCGACATGAAGTCTTTAACCCTTCGAGACCATCAGAAAACCGTTAGTATTGAATTTGATCTAGGCACTGACGCCCTATTTAAATATCCTGGCACTAACATAGAGCGTTCATTTGTAATTTGACTAGCGTTGATACATGCACACAAATAATTGCTCTACAGTTAACATCTAGAGTAGGCTATAAATAATAGCAATTGCGGACACGCCAAACCCCAAACATAAAGCAGCATCGCTACAATGCACAGCTCGTGCCCGAGCGCACATCGCTTTTCGGACCCTTTATTTTACCTGCAGAGCGGCGAGAAGCCCCAGCATCACGCCTCCCGAACGGTACATCGTTTAAATTCCGTCCTTTGTGAAGAAACCGATAGAGTTTGGCCGTTTCCCGCTGCGTTATAATGTTCCGTAAGGTAGCGGCGGCATGTAGCGACAGAATCTTTCCTCCGTCTCTCTCTGGCACTGATCCGTGCTGCTCTCGGTCTGGTACTGACGCTCCGCTCGCTCGCGCACTTCTACGGCAGAGACGCGCGCTCAGTGGCGCCCTCTAGCCACGCGCAGTGGTACTGCGTCGGAGAGGGGGCTCCTTTCCTTCTGTCACCCCTTTCAGCCTCCGGAAGACACAGGGAAGACGACAAGACCCCGCCTCCTTCACTACAACAAAAGGAAGATCTTCTTTTCTTTAACCCCACCCCAACCCCTTAATACCTACTAAATCGGCAAGAGGGACTAAGAATTCCTGGATTTAAAGTGCATGTCTCATGCTGGTGGGCTAAAATCTAATGTTGTGGTAGTACTTCTGAAAGCATTGTTAAAAAAAACCTCATGCAAGAGATAATGTACAGTCAGCGGGTCATGATAGCAAAATAAACCTGACAGGGTGATCAGGACATGGACCCCTAAGAAGCCTAAATAAATACGTATATGGATAGCCTATGGAATATTGATTAGAACTGAAATAATTGTATATTGTGAGAAGAGACCGAGAAGTGTTAAAACAAATTCATGTCACCACCAGAGTCCTGGTCAACCTGTCAGAGTTTACCTATCAATGGTCACACTTTAGATTAGGGTCCAATTCTAACCAATTACTAACTAGTTTGCCTCAATAAATTCATAATTACTGCTTAAGATGTCTAGTTTATGTATTGGGTATAAGGAATGTAGAATATGGTCATGCAGAATAAGCCATTAATATGTGCTTTATAAGTACTAATGAGCAGCGAATACCCTAATACACATGCTAATAGCAAAATAGTTCATAGTGAGAATTGGACCCTGTGTTACTGCCACAATGACTGTACTTATTGGAGTATTTTGGAAATCCTGAAACATTATTTGTTGAATCCGCAGAGATAGTAAACATTGTTTTTTGAGATGAATGGTCAGTTTCAGAATATTTGATCACTGAATGACCAATTAGAATCAAGTATTCCAGAGACCTGTGTAATATATCCTGACAAAGTAACTCAATATAGGCCAATTTGGCTTTAGTTATGCCAGAAATCTCATGAGTATCAGATGGGGAAATTATGCCTGTCTTATGCTGTGAATCTTAAATAGTGTGAATTGACAATGTAAATGGATTTTATGACAGTGCTGAAAGTTGATTAGGGGATTTGCTCAGGTGATGTCTTATTCTGCTTGTGGGCATGACTGCGTCTCTAGTCGTGACAGGCAGGGACAGGGACAGGGAAACTGGCACTTGGAGTGCCTGTGACAGCAGCGGATGTCTATGGAGCAGATGTCCTGTGCGCTCTGAGAGAGTCTCCGGTCATCAGCGCGCACCACCATCTGCTCATCATTACCGGCCCGGCCGAAACAAACACACACACACACCAACCGCGGAGCCGCCGGTCTGTCTCAGTGACATCAGAGATGTTGGCCTTGACAGAGAGCGAGAGAGATAAGCGAAAACAGTGGGGAACCCGTAGTCCTAACATCAATTTATAGTTCAACCAAAAAAATAACATCGCACCATTTACACATTCAATAATTTTTGAAGAATAATGACTACATTTATGTAGACTTTTTTTAAAATACTTATATGGTGGATTTTGTTTTGTCACATTAGACATTGACAGCCCCAGTCCTCATTCACTTTCATTATGAAAAAGTAAAAATATTAACCTAAAAAATTGCCTTTTGGGTTCCACTGAAGAAAGAAAGAAATACAGGTTTAGAATGACAAGAGGGAATGACAGAATTTTAAAAACATGCATCCACAAAGTCTATCTTTTTACAGTGGTGTTACTTGGGAACTTCATCCCATTCGTATGTTTCAGGATTGTGTATTGTCTTTGGCACTGTTATTTTTCTCTGAATTTATTGTTGATCAGTCTACAAACTGAAGTGATTCCTTGTGTTCTCAATATACGATGGCTTAAGAAGGTTTTCAAATCGACCTTGCAAACTAAATTATCTGTTATATTATCTTCCTTCCTTCTCATTAAGGTCCTGGAACTGCTTCATGGATCCTTATAACATTCTATCAGCTTGTACAAATTTATACTAAAAGCGTTAATAAGAAGTGCTATCTTGCAGGATTGGGCAAAATTCAGACTTTAAGAACGGGCTCCTATTCATATAATGAGTTTGGATTTGGATTCAAATGGTTTCAGTTCACATGATGTTGAACTGGAGATCTATACACAAAACAAATCCTTAATTTACAAATAATGCAAATATATACAAGTCTCTTCTACTCACCATGGCTGCATTTATTTAATCAAAAATACAGTAAAAACAGTAATATTGCAAAATATTAAAAGAACTGTTGTCTATTTGAATATATTTTAAAATGTATTTGATTTCTGAAGGCTAATGTGAAACTGAAGTCTGGAGTAATGATGCCGAAAATTCAGCTTTGTATCATAAGAATAACTTACATTTTTAAATTAATCAAAGTATAAAACAATTATTTTAAATTGTAATTGTATTTTACAATATTACTGTTTTTACCGTATTTTTGATTAAATAAATGCAGCCTCTGTGAACATATAAGAGACTTCTTTCAAAAACATTATTGTAAGTTTCCAAACTTTTGACAGTTACTGTGTGTGTGTGTGTGTGTGTGTGTGTGTGTGTGTGTATATATATATATACAGATGGACAGATGAAAAAAAAGAGCTTTTTGGCAGCAAACACTTAATACGGGTTTGGTTCATATATACAGTGAATTATAAACAATGCAGTTTTTTTACAGCCATCTTTGATCATATTTGCCAAGGGGGCAAATAATTCGGACCAGCACATATCAAATTAAACTAAATTAAAGTTAATGTTTATTTTTATTTCAAGTAAGTTTTTGTTTTAGTTAACTACAATAGCTGATTCCATTTTAATTCCACTTCTTTAAATTCAATTTGCAATTGTGCATCGGTGCATCCTGTTTGTTTCAAATTCAGGAAGTGAACTGGAATTTACCATTCATTCTTAATTCAATTCTCATGGCATGCAATTCTGCTACCTTGTGCCTTACTTGATCGTTATGGTAACAGCAATTCATTGAGGTTGATATGTTGATTGGCCCATTATGAACAACTAATAGCAGCGACTACTTAATAGTCACACATATTTAGCTGCTTAATGAATTATTTGGGAGCAAATGGTCAGCGAGTTCGTCTCAAAATCTATAGACACAGTCCACTACTCTTGCAATGCTAAAAGCATTATGGTCAGAACAGCACATTTTGGTCAACTAGCCATCGCTTCTCGTGGGAGGCAGCCCCACATTTGAGCTTCAGACTCCCTGCAGACTCGAGAAATAATTTGTTTTCCTCCAGACTACATTTTCTATGCTCTGAACCATATTTCAACCATACATGTTTTTCATGCCCTGACGTCCCTTTGAGTCATAAGTCATGCTGAATTGCAGCATCTGCTATATGAATAAAATGAAATTGTGCAAAAATGACACTGTCCCATAAGGATCTATGGAGATTTACTAGTAAGTCTTCATATGGGCCAGAAGTATTTAGAATCCAAGCATGAATGATGCAGGAGACATGCAGGAAACTGTAGCTCATTATTAATTTACTTCACAGTGATTGGCTTTTGAATGGGGACGCAAAGTCTCATTGGTCCACCGGGAGATGATATGGATGTATTAGAGTACTTTAACAGTTATTAGGGTTAAAGGTTACACTGAGAGTGTTTTTTGAGTTCATTGCTTATGCTTATATGAGATGTGTTTTACATATTCAGGTTATTGTATCATACATAGAGGACAGTCTTAAAGGTATAGTTCACCCAAAGATAAAAATTGTCGTCATTACAGGCCCGATATACTCAAAGTGAAATCGAAGAACGAACTCGTGTGATGTCAATGTGTACAAAAAGTTTATTTAGGAAGTTTTTAAGTTCGCTTCGGATGGTTCGATCTACGTCTGTGACAATGATGTAATAGGTAGGGTGGGGCTCTGTGGTTCCGCCTTCTTTGACGTAGAAATCTTCTCCGGTTCATTTCTCCTGTTGAGTCAACCCGATCTCACGGCAATTTGTACGTATTTTACGAGGTGGCTAATTCGTACAAATTCATACGACCTCAACTAAATCATACATTTTTTTGCTAAATCATAAACCACGTGCTCACTCGTACGAATTCTTTGAATTGTTCGTGAGATAGCGTTGGATGAGCTCAGATGGGAGTAAAAACATGAGCACACTGGAGAGCTGCTTTACAGTATGAATTGAAGTTGCAATGTTTCATGTTTATTACTGTAAAGCTGAAGCAATATATTGTATACAGTGCTATATAAATAAGCCTGACTTGACTGGAGTGCCGAATTGCAGAATTTCGTTCAAACATATCCACGTCACTATGATCAGATGCTTTCTGAACTGTCATTTTTTGTCATGTTTATTTTGTCACTGAGAGGAAAGCGTGCAGCAAACACTTGCATATTCATCAAACGGCACTCAGTGTAGTGTTTGTCGGGATGTTTGCTAACAATATTTCGCTGCAAAGGTATTTCAAACGTATTTTTACCGCGTTTAAACGTTAAAAAAACTTGAATATATCGTCAGTATATTTACTCACCCTCATTTCATTCTAAACATGTATGACTTTTTCTATTCAACACAAAAGAAGCTATTTTGAAGAAAGTCTGTGTCCACAATGAAAGTCACTGGGGTCCAAAATAAAACAACGACATCAGTGTGAGGAATTTTTGTGTGTGTGTGTGTGTGTGTGTGTGTGTGTTGGCTGTCCTTTTAAGATTACATGCAATTATGTACAGTCAATAGCCGCTTTCCGACCAAGTAGTTACAGGAACTTAGTTATAGGAACTGTCCACTTCTAAACAGTTCTAAGAACTACTCTCCCCCAAACTCGGTTTTGCTGTTTGCGTTCGCACTGGCCAAGTGGCCATAGGAACTGGTAGGAGGAGTAAGGGAGTGACGCAAGCACGGCGGCGGCGGCGCCACATACAACAACAACAAACCAGCGTGGAGGAGGCTATCCGAATGTTCCTGTTCTGCCTTGCCGGGACCTTAATAACGGAGTACGAACGGCGGCGTTTAA